CAAATCCACCTTTACCTATCTCTCTAATATTTGTAAATTCATCGTATGGAATCCATGACAATTGATATTTATTTTCGATCAATATTTTTTTCAAATCATCTTCAATTTCCGAATTTTCATATATACATTCAGATGTAACTAATAATTAAATACAAGAATTATATTAAATATAATTACAGTTGGTAATAAGATTAATTTTGACAGATAATACCTGGCATTGAATCTTTTTCTCTAATTCTGATGAATTTATTAAATAAATCGAATAATAGCGTTAGTAGATATTAGGTTTGTAGTTTAATAACAACGCTAGACGTAAGATCATTTTTCCGTTCATCCCAAATTGGCCAGTGCAATATAAAAAAACAAATTTTTTTAATTATCTCAAAATACAGATGTGTGTCGAAATTCAAAAAAGAAAGTTTCAACAATATTATTTGATGATTGATATTTCAAGACCCATCTATATCTTAAAGTTAACTAACTTTTATTCTTTAATAAAAATTCTTTGTATAATTTTCTACCCATAAGCTCTAACTCAAAAATATATAACCGAAATCATCATACAATTTAAAATTTATCCTTCTCCATTATTTAATTTTATCCATTGTTCTAGCGTTGTAAAATAAACCTCAAAGATCAGGAATAATATGTAATTGAGATAATTACAATTATTTCAATCAAAAATCACATATAGTTCAAAATTTCATTTATGAAATCACTCTAAATCAAGTGCTTTAATATTGTCAAATATAGATGCAAAAATGATTAAAATTTACCTTTGATACCATTCTTTGGCCTTTTGTAAATCCCTTTTTGTTCCAATCCCATTTCGATAGCAGTTAGTGATGTTCAGTATTGCAGCGTTGCTCCCCATCTCTGCTGCTTTCTGATAATAACTGAATGCCTTAGATTCATCCTTTTCAATACCAATTCCATTTTCATAACAATCTCCAAGATTGTTCATTCCTCTAATGTTCCCCATCTCTGCAGATTTTTGATAATAAATAAATGCCTTAGATTCATCCTTTTCAACTCCAAC